GATAGTTTGTAGCTTGACATTCTGTCTGGCTGTCACAATGAAAACAGATCTGAACCTTTCGTATTGTCCAGGCGGCTTGCACACAAAGGGGTCTCAAATTCCATCGGCAGTAACAGAATTACTTGCAGGATTCACGCCAAACCTACATGTTTCACAGGCTTGGGTTCATGAATCTCACTTAGTCATAATGTGGTTTGCTTGATTTGGATCTACATTATTTCCCAAAGACACTAGGCTTGAAAGCGGGAGATAGTGAGTTCAAATCCTGCCTTAGTCACGAAAATCAGCTGGGTGACTTTGGGCTAGTCCCTCCCTCAACCCAACCCACCTCACAGGCTGTTGTTGTGGGGAAAATAGGAGGAAGGTGCATTGGATTATGTTTGCCACTTTATTTGTAAAAACGATAAAGGTGGGATACAAATACAGCAGTGGTTCTCAACCTGTGGGTCGGGACCCCATTTGGGGTCGATCGACCATTTCATGGGGGTCGCCAAGCAAGGCTGTCCGCCATTTTTTTGTCTGCCATTTTTTTTGTCCGCCATTTTTCCCCCTTTTCCGGCGGGTGCCTTACCTCCCTTGGGCTGGACCAGCTGGTGGTCGGCCTGCTCCATCTCTGCCGCTTGCCAGCTACGCCTCGGCCAGCGCAGGGGCGGAACCACGAATGCGCGGCGCTCCCGGGCAGGGAAAGTCCTCGACTTACGACCGGTTGGGTAGTCCTCGACTTACGACTGGTTTAGTCCTCGACTAACGATCGGTTTAGTCCTCGACTTATGACCGGTTTAGTCCTCGACTTACGACCAGTTGGGGTCGCGGCATTAAAAAGGTTGAGAACCACTGAAATACAGTAAGTAAATATGGTCAACTGAAGAGGGGCAAGAAATCTAGGCTACAAAAATTCAGGTGGCCACTAGATGGCAGCCACATGCTAAGAGGGGGTGGGACAAGAATCAGAGAGTGGAAGATTTAAAGAGAGGGATCCAAATTTATTTACAAAGTGTATAGCTCTCCCTCCCTCACACTTTCCAGAAAGCCAGCCCTATGAGTAGGATGCTCTGAGATGCAATTCAATGAATTTCCACAGTGGGAAAACTTGGAAACTTAATCCAATAAGCAATTACAAAATAAGGGCTTAAAGATCTTTATGATCCTGAAAAATGAAAGGTTTTTAATTGAATTGAAGTCCATAAATTGAGTCAGTTTGGTGTAGTCTTCTTCAAATTATTGGAATTTGAATATTCTTTATTGGCCAAGTGTGACTGGACACACAAGGAATGTGTCTCCGGTGCATAAGCTCTAAATCTATATGCAAGCAACAATGTGCTAAATAATACATCAAATGATACAATCATAAATCATAAGATACAACCAACAAGTGATAGTCATAAGATACCAATAGGAGTAGATAATAGGAAAGATGGAGAACGGTAATACAAGTAGTCCTCAACTTAGAACCATAATTGAGCCCAAAATTTGTGTTGCTAAATAAGAAATTTGTTAAGTGAGTTTTGCCTCATTTTACAACTTTTCTTACTACATTTGTTAAGTGAATCACTGCAGTTGTTAAATTAGTAACACAGTTGTTAGGTGAATCTGGTTTCCCCATTGACTTTGCTGGTCCAAAGTTTACAAAAGGAGATCACATGACTCTGGGACATTGCAACCATCGTAAATGTGAGTCAGTTGTCAAGCATCCCAATGTAAATCATGTGACCATGAGGATGCTGCAACGGTCATAAGTCACTTTTTTGTGATGTTGTAACTTCAGTCACTAAACCAGTGGTTCTCAACCTGTGGGTCGGGACCCCATTTGGGGTCGATCGACCATTTCATGGGGGTCGCCAAGCAAGGCTGTCTGCCTTTTTTTTGTCCGCCATTTTTTTCCCCTTTTCCGGCGGGTGCCTTACCTCCCTTGGGCTGGGCCAGCTGGTGGTCGGCCTGCTCCGTCTCTGCCGCTTGCCAGCTATGCCTCGGCCGGCGCAGGGGGTGGAACCACGCATGCGTGGCGCTCCCGGGCAGGGAAAGTCCTCGACTTACGACCGGTTGGGTAGTCCTCGACTTACGACTGGTTTAGTCCTCGACTTACGACCGGTTGGGGTCGCGGCATTAAAAAGGTTGAGAACCACTGCACTAAACAAACTGTTATAAGTTGATGACTACTTGTACATGATTCAAAATCCTTAGGCATAAGACAGTCCTGTGGGAATTAGCAGAGTGATAGCATGGGGGGGAAACTGTGTCTAGTCGTTTTGGCATGCAATACCCTATAGTGGGGTCCTGAGGAGAAATTTGGCCACTTTTAAGATATGTGGACGTCAACTCGCCAAATTCTCCAACCCACATGAGGGAGGAGTCGATTCCCCACATGTTAAAGTGGCCAAGTTTGAAAAACACTAGTCTAGAGGTTAAGATGCTAGATTAGAAACTGAGAGACCAGGAATTCTAGGCATGAAGTCAGCCGGGTGAATTTGGGCCAGTCTGTCTCTCAGTCCAACCCACCTCGCAGGGAGGTTGTTACGGGGGAGGGGGGAGGAGGAGGAGGAGGGAGGCTGATGTACGCCGCCTTGAGTTGCCCAAGAGAAACGCGAGATATGACTCCAGTAAAAATCACTACGCTTTATTTGAACTTCGCCTTCCAATAGCTAATCAGGCGTCCGCAGAGAGGCGTGAGCGGGAGGCCACAAGGGAAGCCTCTTCGGTATCTTCCGGCATTTCTGCTCCCCTCCAGAGGCGTGGGGGGCCTGACCCCCTCCACAAATAGCCCCACGGACTATCCTGGAAGGCGATCGGGCCAAGCCTCTCTTGCCTCGCTGCAAACTTGTGTGTGTGTGGGGGGGGGGGGGTTGTGGGTGTGGGTGTGGGTAAGAATCTCTGGCGCCGAGCTCGACCTGAGCGCGTTTCTCCTCCTTCAGGGAGGCGGAAAGCCGAGACTCTGGTCCCGGCGAAGAAGCCCGGACTCGGGGCGCGCCCACCCACCCACCCACCCACGCCGCGCAGCCGAGCCGGAGACCGGCGGCCGCGAGAGGGCTCCCTCGGTGGAAGAGGCGGCTCGCCCTCCGCCTCGCTTGCTTCGCCCTCCTCCCTCGCCGGCGAGGTTGGGCTTCCCAGGTTAGGCGCGGGTGCCGTTTCCTGCCACTCCTCCTCCGCTGCCAGCTCCGCAGCCCCAGCCGCTTGCCCGGCTTCTCGGCCGGTCCGCCCCCC